CAAATTCTTTACAATAAAAACAAATATAAAATCTTTTATTTACGCATTATATGTTTATGCTTGCAAATATATGGGGAACTCAGAAAAAAGTGACTTCGGGCCAACCACTCAGATTTTGAGGTTTTTTTTTTAAAATAACTATATACTGTATCAAATAGTTATTTCTATAAATACGATGCTTGATTACTATATCAAGTATGTTAATAATAACGTAAAGCAAACAATTTTTAATTGATCGTCCCGAAGGGTTTTACGGAAGACAGATTCCCGAAAGGATCTAATACCGGCAAAGTTAGCCGGCATTAATTATAATGCTGGCCAATTTGGTCGGTATTATGTTCTTTCGGGAAAATGACTTTCGGGATTTTGTGGTAAAACCGTCCCGAAGCCACCTTTTGCTGGCAGCCCTCCATATATTGTAAGGCAAGTTAAATTTTTATAACTAATTATTAGATTGCAGATACTTGAAATTTTAATGTAACAAGAACAAAATTTATAAAAGTTTAATTTTCTACTTCAGATATAACATATATCGTATTGTGAGCCCTGAATCCGATCTACACTAGGTCGGCGGTATAATGTGACATGGACCAGGAATGCAAGAAGTGCAGCTTGTATAATTGAACTTTTTGAATATTTTGCGTTTATTGAACTTTTTGTATAATTTGAATTTTGTGAACATTTGAATAACATTATAAATAAAGGCCGTATTGGCCCATAGAGGAGAGTGACTCCGTTTACCTCCCCCCCCGAATAATTGTAATCCCGTCCGGCTGTTGTATTCTAAAGTACCAGGATCAGCCGTGTTTATCGTGTCCAGTTATCCCGAAGTACTGTGAATAGTTGTGGTTTCATTTGTCCAGTTGCCCGAAGTATTGTGGCGATTGTGATTGTTGTTGTCCAATTACCCAAAGTATTGAGGTAATTGTGGTTATAATTAATAAGAGTATAAGTTAGAATACAAAACATTTAAAGGAGGGATACTTACCTACGAGCACAACTCCCACTCACCAAATATAACACGCCTCTAACGACTAAGCCGCCTGTAGATCACCTGGTGGATTGGTATTTTGAGTTGTAGATATTTTCCTCTTGTGTCAGTATATAAGACCATGCAAAAAAATTTTCTTGGTTTACATAACCCGGCCGGGTCAAAATTTTAAAACTTTTGAAACTTTTTATGTTATAATAACCGAGTGGGTTTTTTAAAAAAATTATATATAATTTTTTTTTTATATATATAAAAGTTGAAAAAAAATGCCCGGTTGCCGGGTCTGTTTTAAAATTTTATGTTATGAAAACCAAAAAATTATTTTGTATGGCCTAATAATAAAAAAATTTTTTAAAATTATTAACTAAAAGCCGGGGTGTAAATAAGAAACCTTGTAATTGGCAATGTTAAACCTGTTATTAGATTAGCATTTAAGTATGTTAGTTAAATGTACCAGAACTTAAATTTATACATTTCTTTTGTTTTTTGTACGATTCCACATACTCAACAATGCGAATTGCAAAATTTAACTTGGGATTTAAGAAGCTCATAAAGATCTTGTGCCATGAAATTCACTGTATTATAAATCATATTAATAAGAATAAATCTACAATTAATATAAACACATCGATTGATAAAATACTTTTACACCTTTTTGGCATCATTGCTATTTCTCTGACAACTACGGTAATATTAAATCAGACCAACCCTCAGGTTAAGCTGTCTGAACTGTCAGTGAAATTGATTAGTATCTTTTTTACACACATTTAGTGATAGGATCTCTTGAGTTATTAATGATTAATAATGATTATTAATGATTGATTAACATTATTAACTAATAACTACTTAATAATATATGGCGCAGCTAATTGGTACAGACTGTATGAAAATGACAAGTCACTAATACTTTCATGCAATATTTTCTCAAACAATTGCTCAAATACTTACTCATATTTGCAGACTAAAATTATTTTATTAAATCTTATTAAAAGCGAATAAATATTAAAAATTATTTTTTTACAAAGCTAATTACCGAAGCAATTTATAAAATAACTTTGGATAGTAAATATAAACCTGTAAATTTATTAGCAACTAAGGCCCAATAAATGTTCTTTATATTTATTAATCGAATTGCTATAAGCAATTATTTAAATTATAATAAAAAAACACTTATTAAAGTCGTTTAAATTGTATCGGTCATAAGTAATAAATGTATTGAAAATAAAATATTACAAAATTGTATCAAAGTTGATATTTAACACTAAATTCATTCGTTAAAATAGATAAATTCTTTTTCATTTTTAAAGGTTCACCGGGACAGGTTTTCTGGCAAAAATTACATTGTGCTAAATAGTGTGAACTATTAAGCTTTTCACCTTCACGAAACCACTGCCAAACTGGTTTTTTTTTTCTTTCTAAATTTACGTTGAGATGACATTTCAAAAGAAAATCAAAATTTTTTCACGAATTTAGTTATTAAACGGCAATTAAATTTAATAAATTAAACTTCTAATGACTTCAATAGTAGTTTATTTAATTCAAATACATTATTAACAATTGTTAGAATTATTAACTATTAATAATATTAATAATGCATTATTAATTTTTTAATTATTAACTAAAAATTCGAAGGTCCCATCACTAGGCACGGTCAAGGCGGTAGCGAAACGTTATGCAAGGTAAGTGTTTTATTTATTTAATTGATCGTTAAATCTGTCATAAATCTCTTACATGATGTCAAAGTTACATCCCTTTTATACAAATTTTCGGAAGAAACAAAAAGAAACAAAAAGAAAGAAACAGAACTAAAACGAAGGTTTTTACTTCGTTATTTTCAATGAACAACCTTAAAATTTATAATGGCGCTGAGACACGGCCACGAACTAATCCGGATATGGTTAACTTAACCCACTGACATCTCTAAGCCGCATTTGACAATCGGGTTAATTATCCAACGATGCCTTTTCGGGTTTAACCACGAATTTGCCGATCATTGGTCCTGCGGGATCTTCACATGCAATTCGGGTCCTCTTTTCATGTGAGTCTTTGGACTGGTTCTTGGGCTTCACAAGTCACTTTGAGGCACGGGTTCCTTCTTTTTCTGATATACCGATTTTGCCTCTGACAATATATTGATCAAATAAAACTATCGCTAAGTTCAAAAGCATATCGAACAAATAGAACAAAGCCCGATTTGTACAACTTTCAAGTAGAAGCAAGCATAATTCGAAGATTGAATCAGAACAAATCACATCGAAACATCCGATTGGAGATAATAGCAAACGTTTGTGTTTTAACAATATAAACGGATTGAATCCAGATGGCATAAATTAGCTAACGGATAAAAAAAGTTCATCCGGATCCAAGCTATAGTTTGAACATTTTTAAGAAAGAGAAATACTTGACATTAAATATTAAATTATGGATTAATCTAGATCTAGCATGGGTGCGATTCTCTTATTTATCGCGCTTTATTTTAATCGGCTAATTTTGCACCATTGTTAGAGTTTTAGTTTGTGTAAAGGCTGTGCGAGGCTCAAGTAATAGCACGAAGCCTCTAACAGGTCAAGCCTCTTAAGATCTTAAAATGTATAAAAGCATAGGCTGTCTCATTTTAATAAAGAGAAGAGTTAACGTCCTTCTTGATAAAGTAACATAAAACAATGATCTGCCTTTCCTTTAATCCTAACTATCATTAATGCTTGAATTCCACCACGTCCCAACCACGTTAACTATTGGAGCTAAACCGTGCACTGTTACTCGCTCTCCCAATTTACAATAGTAACAACCATGCGATACTCTTATTTGTCGCCCACCAATCAAATTTAAAGATCAGGTGTAACATAAAAAAATGGCGAAAAAAACACTTTTTTTTAATGAAATTTCCAATAGCTCAAAATTTTACATAGGAAACAGCCTTTCGTGTTCTAACTAAAAAAATTCCTTGCAAAATTTTGATATAAACTATGTACGCACTAATCCTAAATCGAACCTGCCCTAACCCTAACTAAATCGAAGTAAAACGTTTTGTTTTAATTTTACGTTACACCTGGATTATGATTTACTATAGGTGTGCGAGATATAAGTGTGTAGCATGGTGCGATATATACATTTATTATATTTTTTTCTAAAATTTTATTATGTTTACATAAGTAGGATAATCTTTGATAAATGTAGGAGCAACCAAGATAGAGTAAAGACCACCAGTTTCGACATCATCACGAGCTACTGGACATTGGAAAGTAACTTTTGCAGGATTGGATTTAGTTGAGGAGATTTCAACAACTGTAATCGCTAAACCATATACATATCTATAAATAAGAAGCGTAAAAGTCTTAATGAATCAATTTCTTTTGTTAAAGAGAAAAAGAAAAAAAAAAAAAAAGAATTATGATGAGTACTTACTCGCAATGTGTGGAACTACCTAACACCCGAGAAGACTCACAAATGCGTACTGTAACTGAAGGAGTTTGTACTCTTTCTTGAATGTAAAAACCTAAGGTGACATTTTCACCTGGAGTACATTCAATTGTATCATTCTGAACCTGAAATCCACTATTGGAATTATTCATTATACATTGTAATAAATTATTAATATTAAGCATTGTGTATAAAGAATTATAATTATATTGTAAAATTTTACCAGTCACGCAAGGGACCAGATTGGCCACGAGTACAAGGCTCCGTTACGAAAGATAATTGGTTATGTAGAATATATTGCATGGCTTCGTAATTATTGGAATCCCAACCTTTTGTATAATTACATCGTACTCGAGAAACAGGATATCCGTATGAGGTAGTGTAATTTGTCAGTACCCATTGAATATTATTGCTACTGTTTAGAATCAAACTTCCCTCACAGAGGAAACCTGATTAATATAATCATTTAATGAGATATCTTTTAAGTTGATTTAAATATACTGTATTAAATATATTAAATATTATATCAGATATACCGTCTGGATTTAACGTATCACTTAAAATAGCTGTTTGAGCAGGTAATCCAGTAATATCAATCCATTGACATCCCTAAGATTAAACAATTAATTAATTAAACCATTTTGGAAATTACCAATTTACATACTGCAAATGAAAAACTTATTACCAATCCTGATATATAATCATCTCCCCAACCAACACTGATCCCTTGATAAACGCAAGTATCATACGGAGTATTTAAATATGTGTATTCAGTATTGAAGTAACGCCATGTAGTTTGCAGACAAAATCCCACTTTTTTCCCATGTCTAAAACATTATTATGTTAGATCAGGTTTATTTTAAAAATAAAAATAAAATTTAACATACGTGTCACCGAATTGAAAATTGCCGTAATGTTGGAAATGCTATTAAACAAAAATTAAAATTAAAACATTAAAGGTGCTTAAATATATATATATTTTATAACTTACAAAATGTTTGTGGCAATTATCCCATTCAAATACACCATGATACAAGTAATCTGGATCAGTCGCATTTCCCAGATGAAGATCAGTTTTACCCGAATTTATTGCGGATGAAGTAAACCGTAAAAGCCGTCTCCATCCAGGTGCTATTTAATATATTATTAATATATGTTTTTTAGCAAGAGTAAAATTTTTTACCGTACATACCTCCAATACATTTACCACGACCCTCATGCATTACACAACTATTTTGTCCATAATATCTATAAGCTACACGAGTTTGTTCTAATAAATTTTTACGAACTCCGACCAAATCAGGTAATATAGAAGTGTGATTTCCAAAACGATATTTTTTTGCTTTTTCTTCAGTAAAAGGAATTCTATGCCACGTTATCGTAACTGAAAATTTTAAACAATACAATAAATCATTAAATCAATAATCATTAAATAATTAATCTAATATCGCCAAAGTTAGCTTGTATATTCTGATATTTCCTAATTCATTTTAGCACTCAGAATATTTTGTGTAAGGTTTGTATAGAAATAAAATTATGTTTTATTATATCTGTTCAGTATATATATATATATATATATATATATATATACCCCAATACCCGAATATAACCCATCTGCCTTCAATCTTTGTGAGTATACAAACTCGATTTTTTATAGTGATTAATGCATCAAAATTTCTTACCATTCACGGAACCAACGTTTTGGTCCAATGCATCAATACATGATATTGAAGGATATTCACTATAGTGACAACGAATTTCGTTCGGGTCGTATACTAGTTGCTAATAATAATGAAAAATGCGGTTAATTACAGAAACTACAGAGTGTATTAAAAAAAATATATATTAATATTAATATTACCGGTAGTTCAGCCTTACAAGTATCATCATAATAGGCAAAAACATTCTCACTTTCAACGGTATGTTTAGGATACGAATTTTCATCAATGCATGCGTAGCCAGTTCTTTGTAGGAGAAATTCAGGATCCACAGGTAATATCCAATGATCTACGGTTTTTTATTTAAAACATATTTAGCATAGTTTTTAATAATATTAAAATATTAAACCAAATTCTTTATAAAATTCATCATATGAATGAAGATTATAATCACCTGACCATTTTCCACCAATTTCATTCAAAGCTGGTTCAGATCGGTTGATAATTTTGGCATCGGTAACAAGAACAGAATAAAAATCAACATCCACCGCAATGTAATCATGGTTACCAATTTTTGTCCTACGCGCTTTACCAAGATTGAATTCCCAAACTTCTTCTGGAGGTAGTGTAAGTTGTTTCTTACCAATATGAAAGTATGAGCGATAAACTTGACGATATTCTGTAAGAATTGTTTGCATATGCGCTTTTGTAATCCAAAAATCGTTATTTTGTTTCAAATAATAATCTGCCACATTTTTGCGCATCCCAAAATTTTCAGAGAAATCATCTAATAGGACACCGATTGTACTTTTAAAATTTGTCTCTATCAAAGCACCAATCACTTTTTCAAAAGGATTTCTCTTATAAAGTTCAAAAATTGCAGCATTTGCAGCAGCCATATCTTGCCCAGGTACGGCGGGAATTTCAGTCATTCCTGGTAAGAGTCCTGGAATTATAGGCGTTCCTGTTGGGACACTGACATCATTTACTTCAGGTGGAGCAGAGTAGGTGGGAACAAACGGTTTGAACCAACCCTTAGTTTGTTTTTGATCGGAATAATATGATGATTTAGTTACATCCTCTGATAATACAAAAGGTATAATAAATGACAAGATAATGATTATTGAAAATTTCATTTTGTACAGATTGCTGAATTCATCCAAGTGATAAAATATTTTCAAAGTTGTATCGTCAAATTAATAAGAAATCTTTACAATAAAAAAAAAAAAAAAAATCAATATTTTTATACAATATATAGACTTTATTTTATTATACAATTTAATATGTGAATATAATAGATTAATACTCAAATTACAGAGAGTTCGATTTCCTCTTTTATATTGTCAATGAGTTAAAATGTCAATAGTTATCCTGTAACGCCACAGATCAGGGATGTGATATTAAAAGTAAAGCTGCTTATGGATGTTAAGTGGTCCGAAAGGAACTAGTTCAGCGCTGGTCCTAACTAAGAACAGGTCAGAACTAGTTAAAAATCACTTGATATAAATAGGTGTCATTTTTGACACATTAAATAAAATTTAATTAAAAATAAATCAAGAAAAATATTTTTATTAGCAGTAATTTTACAGATATTTCATCACTAATCGGGTGATTAATAGAACTCCGATTGGTGAATTTTAAATCGTAATGTAATAATTAATATTGCTGTATTGAACTAGTTCCTAACTAGTTCAGGAACAGGACGAACTGGGACCAGACTGGACCGTACATTTAACATCCCTAAAGCTGCTACATGATATACAACTAATCGATTGGACCAACTAATAAATCGATCGATTAATCGTTTAAATTTAATAACTAATCGATTAACAGTTAACGTTAAATTAAAATAAAAATTATCAATATGGAAAACAATTTTTTTACATATTAGGTTAAAATCAAAATTATTTTTGTTGCACTTTTTTTTTCATGATAGGGGTCACAGAAAATTTTCGGAAATCTAAAGACGTGCCTTACAGACATGCTCACAAATTTTTAACACAATAATTCATAAATTTTTCTGACTAAAGGCTTACTTAAGAGCATGGATAGAGATCAGTGTTAAAAAAATAGCATTGGGCTGATTTGACGAAAATTGGACAAATTTGCAGATCATTTGGCCTAACGGAGATGAGTTTTAAACTCATCTCCGTTAGGCCAAATGATCTGTAAAATTTAAACCAATTTTTAAGGGAGTATTATACTCCAGATAGAGATGGTAAAAAATTGTTTTTTAATGATTTTTATGTTTTTTTAACATGATTTAATAAAATATTGTTGATTATGACGCTGATGGCTGAAACCGAAATTACTGCACCTGATTGGATAATTTTAATTTCAGTATTGCCGTGATATGATATTTAAATAATATTATGATATCAGATATAATGAAATGATCTTTAAAATCACATCGCATGATCTGAAATAAAATTTACCAATTATAAATGACGGTGATTTAAATCATAAAAAAAATCAATTTAAAGCAATATAATATTGATTTAAAACATTGTGTTTTAAATCATTTGCCATCCCTAACTCCAGAGTAATATAGGAGTATAAACCACTCCACAATGGAATAGTTTATATACTACACCACTCCGAATTGCTCCAGAGCTAATGTTAATACCACACCAGATTAATAATATAAATAATTTTTTACCAATTATTGTATATTAAAGATAAAAATTTTATTAATTAATATTATAGCATTAAATTAAGTTGCTATAGCTCGATAAACCTCACACAGAAACTAAATCCCCCAACCACGATAGAAGAACTTACCCAAGTAGAATGCGTAGAGAAAAAGGAAGAAAAAAACACCATCACATAGCTACACATAAATACAATATATAAAATATGGGTTTGGTACACGACGGCAAAATGGAGGGAGGGCCCAATTCCAATGCCTTTGCTTCCATTTATTATAAAGACCCGCATGAACAAAACCATTAATACACTAAAGGTACTCAGCAGAACAAACAAAAAAAAAATAAAAAATATCACCAAATATTAAAACTATAAATGATAAAGACGATATAAAATAAAATAAAATAAAATAAAATAAAAGTTGCTATAGCGATAGGTATTAATATAAACTATAATTAGCAATATATTTTAAAAATATACTAAGTTATAAACTTAATCTGGAGTCACACTCCAGATTAAAACTATAGAGTTTATTTTGGAGTAATAACTCTGGTGTGGTTTGGTTTTACTAGTTACTCTGGCAGAGTATACACCGAATCACTTTGTTAACAGCCCTAGTTGGATCGCCTATATGAATCTGTATTTTGAGAAAAGCGGGTTTTTTCATGCACTACGACAATCACTCCTAATCGGGTCGAAACCCGAACCGAATTTTCGGGTCGGGTCAGGTTCGGATTAGAAAATTTTGACCCGAAAAATTTCGGGTTCAGGTCAGGCTCGAGTTGAACATGAACCCGACTCGACTCAAATTTAGAGATCTAGAAATTGTACTTTTGGACCAATCAGCATCAATCGTATAGAATTTAAATGAACGATCATAACGTTAGAATTAGTGCTCCGAACGGGTCGGGTTGAAACACTTTCGGGTTAGCACTTCAACCCAACCCGAACCCGACCCGAACCCGACCAGACTCGAACCCGACCCGAAATTATTAAAGCTGTTGTCAATAGAAATCAAACTAAGCAAATTTTTTTTGGATTTTAATAATTTTTCTTACAGCTGTTTTCATAAATTCTGGGACACCTAAAAATTTATTCGTTTTCCGAAATCTCTTCGGTTTAGTTCTGTGAATTATCTAACTCTTCGGAAACTACGCCGCTACCTTCAGAACTTCGGTCCGGAGACAGCAATGTAGTTTTCGAAGAGTTAGATAATTCACAGAACGAAACCGAAGAAATTTCGGGAAACGAATAAATTTTTAGGTGTCCCAGAATTTATGAAAACAGCTGTAAAATAAACACCGCCGGAGAAAAAGCAGCTTCCGGCATCCGGAAATTTTGTGCCCTGACCCTAAGGTTACGTGCAACAATATAATATCTCTTGATTATTGTTTCGACTAGGTTTCAGGACCCGGGCGTTGCTCCGGGTGCTAGTTTTTTTATTTTTTTTAGTTCTTAAATTTTTTGAAATTAAAATATTAATTTTTTTAGTTATTAGTTGGTTTTTTTATTTTTTTAGTTTTTAAATTCCTAAAATTAAAATTTTAATAAAATATTAGTTTTTATATAATTTTTTTAGTTAAAGTTTAAATATAGGATTTTGCTAAATATCGCAACCTGCTATATCGCAGATCATGTGATTTTACTAAATCTGACCAATTAAATTATGTTACGCCTGAACTTAAAATCTGATTCGTAATTCAGGCAGGAAATCTGCCAGGGACCTGTGGAATTTGTGATATAATTTAGCAAATTGTTTTCGTTATCAGCAATTTTTTCAAAAAAAAGTTGCACTAAAAATTTAAATTGATTTTTTACATGCAAATAGTTAATAATTTGATTTGTTTGTTTGTATCGTTAAGTTATAAAACTTTATTTGAACCGTTAAAGTATAAAATATTCAGCATTTTTAACGATTCTTTATTCAAATTCTATAGTGA